TACCATGGAAGAAGTACATAAAGAGTGATGTAAAAGATAGTGGCAGGTCAGGGGCTGAAAGGATCCAAACTTTAGATTGGGTAGTCATGGAAAATGGATCTGAGGAGCTGACGTTTGAGCTGGGAGCAGTAGGTGAGAAGGGGCCAGCTTGGGCAGCAGTGGGGACCAGACAGAGGCACGGCAAGGACAAGGAAAGGCAAGTTCTCAGATGCTAAAGAGGGAAATGTTGGTTGTATTCCTGAAACATGAAAGAAAACAGTTTGGCTGAAGCACAAGGAAATGCAGATAAAATGACGTTAGGAGAGAGGGCAGGAGTTAGACCCAGATCATTCAACGTTTACATGGCACAGTGCTGAGTTTGGATTGTACCCTAAGAGTAACAGGAAACTATCAAAGGATTTTAGGCAGGAGAGTGACCTTATCTGGTCTATCTTTTTACAAAGATTACTTTGGCTGCTCTGGGGAGGCCGTATCACAAGGAGAGTGCAGTTGTAAGGAGAAGGTAAGAAATGACAGAGGTCATAATGGTGACAATAAAAGAGAGGACAGATTGGACATACATTGAAGAGATACAAATGAATGTCTTCATGCATAGTCCTCCAAGACCTAATCTGATTGTGAATTAGCATAACTTGAAACAGATTTCCATTAACAATCTAACTTTGAAATTCTGCTCTGAGAGAGAGAGAGAGACATATATGTAAGTAAAGGCCAAGTCTTATGCAAAAACCAAAACCAAAAGGCTTCTATCTGGTTTTATTTGTGGTGATGAAATATTAAAAACAGCCCAATATTCGTGGGTTATTATTATGATGTTCCGTGTGAAACACTGTTTTAAGGACTTCTTGTAGGGCTAGTCTTGTCTTGGTTAATTCTCTGAGCCTTTGCTTGTCTGAGAATGTTTTTATTTCTCCTTCATATACGAAGCTTAGTTTTGCAGGGAATAATATTCTAGGCTGGGCATTGTTTTGTTTCAAAAGAGTGAGTATGGGGCCCCAGTCCCCATTGTGCCTTGTAATCTATTATGAGAGTCTGATGTTATTCGAATTGGCTTTCGCCTTGTATGTTATCAGCTTGCTTCTTTGTCTTACAGTCTCTTAGAAGGGCCTCTTTGTGATCTTTGGTCAAATTGTGACTGCATGTCCATTGACTGTCTTCCTGTTTGCACTGAATCTCCCAAAAGGGGGTCCCCTGAGCCTTCTTGAACTTGTATATAGATTTTTAGAGCTAAGGCTGGGAATTTTCTTTTAATTTATTATCTTCAAATCAGCTTGTCAAACCTTGATGTGTTGTCTGTATTCTCTTCTGGTAGCTGATGATCCCTCACATTAGGTTTTTTTTCAAATATTCACAAGTTTTGTAGGCTTTGTCTCTTAGAACTCTTGAATAATCAGTAAGAAAAAATAAATATATCCATTTAAAAAGTGGGGCAAGGTACTTCTATTGAACAGAAACTTTTCTAAAGAAGTGACAGAAGAATGGCCATCAGACATAATGAAGGAATATGCTCAACATCTCTAATCTATCAGGGATATGCATAATCAAAAAAATATGAGATATCTACTTAACCCTAGTGGGAGAATGGGCCCTTTTATAAAAAAACTCTACACTATATAATGGCTGGCGTGGTTGCGTGGAGCTCGCTCGGACCCCACTCCCTACACTGGCTTGGCCCTCTGGGGATGCCAAACTGTCTCCACTCTCGTCGCCGCACCCAGGCATATGGAGATCCCTTAAGCGCATACAAAAGTGATTACATTTGACTCCGCAATCCCCTTGCAGGGGACATTACCAAAGTGTTCCAATGGACACTTATACTAATATAAGTACACCCTGCACTTTCCCGGGAGTGGAGCGGGTGTGGGGGTCCTTTATCTCCCACCCCTCGTTCTCTCTCGCTACGCCATTCTATTGCATTTGTGCTGTGGCACAAAGCCCAATGCCCATCATCAAGAATGGATTAATAAAATGTTGTTTATGCCCTCCCCTCATACCCTCGGGGTACTTTATCAGTCTCAAGAAACGAATGGTGATTCCTTCAGCATCATCTTATATTTTCCTGGTTAGAGCTGGAATCCCATACTTTAAGTGAATTGTATATCCAGAATGGAAAATAATTAAGGCCCAGGATATATCTCCGCAAACTGGTATTACTGTATAGTGCAACTACGTGGACACATAGGTGTTAACAGTATAGGGCTCCTTCGGGCGAGCGTGGTGATGGCGGTAGAGCTGGGGCTAGTTTTACTTGGTGTAATTATACTATACATAAATAATGAGTGTAGAATGAGCACATCTGGGGATTCGTTGGTTCATTGGAATGGAGACTCAGACTTTTGGGGGGAGGGGGGAAATGGGCATTTATTGAAACCTTAAAATCTGTACCCCCATAATATGCCAAAATAAAAAAAAATAATAATAATGAAAAAAATAAATAAAAATAAAAACAGCCCAAATACCTAAGAGTAAGGGCCTGGTTACGACAATTATGGTGCATAAAAAGGATATTTTTGAAAAATTCAGTGACATAAAGAAAGCCTAGGATGTGATGCTAAGAACATGAAATCAGGTAAGTAATAAAGAAAAGGGAGGTTATAGACTTGGAGTCAAGTGTGTTTATGTGGCGTGGATGTGTAGAGAGGACGCAGGCGGGGGATTCTTGGTGAATGGTGAAGGAATAAAGATGGATAGATAAGGCTGAGTGAAGTTTTGAGGGACTCTGAATGCCTAAACTAGAACAAACATAAGATAGTATTTATTTAGTCCCTGATACACGATATCTGACATTTCCAAGGTGATCTACATTCATCATTTCATCAGATGCTCACAGAAGTCTTCTGGGGGACTGGCACCTGCATTTTATAAAAGAGGAAACTGAGGCTCAGGGAGAGTTAATGACTTTTCCAAAGCTATGCAAGTTGAACTTTTCCAAAGCTATGCAAGTTGGGGTTAGCACCCAGCCCTTTCTGACTTCCAGGCCACTATTTATCACAGTACAATATTTTAAACCTGGGGTTTACCATTCAAGTTACATAAAAGAACTCCACCATTTTCTTCTGCTTCAAATTATGACCTTAGCTTAACATGTAGATCTTGCCTTTTTATAGGCTTAAGGATTTTACAGAATTCTAACCTAGACATCCTCTTACCAAATAGTAAGCATCTACTATGTGTCAGGTACTGATTTAGGTACAGAAATGTAAAGATGATTCAAACAATAAGACAATCCCCACCTTCAAAGAACTCTCTGTCTAGCTAAGGAAAGAGCTAGACAAAAACAAATTATATTACACAAAAATGAAACCAATGCTTAACACACATATAAAGAAAAGCTGGGAGAATTCAGAGCGAATTGTGACTGTGACAATCAGTGATGTCTTCATGGAAATGTGTCATTCATGTCGAGCTTGGAAAGACAGGTAAGATTTCGCAAGTGTAGAACACAGTGGTTAAGTTAAAAGGTTTGAGACTCAGACTGTGGGTTCTCCCTGGCTCCATCATTTACTGGAGCTCCCCTTGGGCCAGTTACCATAGCAATCTGTGCCTTAGCGAGATCATCTGCAAAATGGAAATTACCATTGTATTTACTTCAGAGGGTGGCAGTAAGGATCAAATTACATTTATATATAAATGGTATTTTATATACATATACATACATATATATATACATATACATACATACATATATATATATATAATTTAGCCTGCTGCCTGGAATAAGTTTAGTGTCAATAAGTGACAAAGATTATCTAAGGGGCCAGATAGGTGGTTTCATGCAGAGAGAATGGCACAGGAAGGAACATGGGAGGACAGAGCACATGTATTTACAAGAGACAGTAGAGATCAGAGCTCTGTGTGGCTTTGAGTGCCATGTTCACAAGCACAGATATGTCTGAAGGTGCTAGCTACTGTGGCTGGGGAGAAGGGGAATGACGTGATCAGAGCTAAGTTATAGGAAATGGAGAAGTGAGAGGCAAGAAGAGGAGTGGTCAGCTGGAGAATACTGAGTGGACTGAAAGAAAAAAAGAGATGAGGTTTGGAAATCAGCCAACGACAAGTAGGTTCCTATTATATTCTAAGTCACACAGATGGTCAGGGGAAGACGATGATGATGAAGATGAAGATAATGAAGAAGAAAATGATGAAGATGATAATGAGATGAAAAAGAAGATGATGATGATGGTGAAGATGATGACGAAGAAGAAGATTATGAGATTATGAAGATGAAGATGGTGATGAAGATGAGTCTGACGAAGAAGATGTAAAAGATAATGATGATGATGATAAAGAGGAAGATGATGAAGATGAAGAGGATGATTATGGTAATGTTGATATGGGAAGAGAGAAAGGGAAGGAAAGAAGAGGAAAAGAATCAGGAAAGAAAGATCTGGTTTTTACTGAATGCTGGGCTGGGCATTGTGCTAAGATACTGTAGCAACCCTGTGAGACAGGAGTGACTTGGAGAAGTAGACCGATTTGCCCTGGGTGACACAGTTAGTTAGAAGCAGAACCTAAATTTGAAAACAATTCTAACTGATATACGATACTCCTGCTGTTGACTGCTACATTATTCAGCCTGCTAAAAAGTGGTCCCAAACCCCCAATCCTGGCCCCCAGCCTGCAAATGCCTTCCATTAGGATGTTCTGCCTTCTTTGCACTCTCCGGAGTGACACCAGCTATCATTTCAAAAACATCTACTGTGTGCAGGTCCTAGTGCTAGACACGTCCCATATATTGTTGCTAATCTTCTCAATCAGTCTAAAATTTGGAGAATCCTTTCCCACCTTCAGATGAGGCAGCTGGGGCTCAGAGAGGTTAGCGCTGGGTGCAGGGAGCACAGGTTTGCCGTCTCCAAGGGGATTTATCAGAGAAGAGAGAGAGAGTGGCACGAGTTTTATGAGCACAGGGGGACAAGGGAAGAGGGCACAGCTCTCCCCAGCGACTGTGGAGCCTGTGGACAGCCCGCTGACCTCCTGGCAAGAGGTCCAGGAGGGCCTACCTCGAGACTTGCTCCTCCGCTTCCGCTTCCCTGCCGACGCACTGCGCGGGGCTGGCTGCAGCTGACCGATTTCGATGGGCGTGTTAGCGCGGAAACTCTCCTTGAACTTCTGCATCAGGGACTCCACTGTCTCCTGCGTCGCCTCAGCTGCTGCTACAGGGTGGCAACAGGGCTGAGGTTAGGGCTTGGCCCCTGCTCAGCCCCTGGAGGACTGGGCCTGGCCACCCTGAGCCCCTGAAACCTCCTCCATGACCCATTAAAGGTACAGAATCACAAACCACTGGCTAAGCACAGATGGATCGCTGGCTTACTCGTTTATTTATCCAACACCTACTATGCTCCAGGCAATACTCTAGGTCCTTGAGACATGGTGGTAAAAAGTCAGATACAAGCCATTATTCAAGCAATTCATACTTTAGCAGGACACATGCCTAGACAATGCCAACACTGTGCAATATTTCTGTGAGAGGAGAATACAGAATTCATGAGGAACACCCAGAAGGGTCATCACATCCATCCTGGGAGTCAAGGCAGGCTTCCAGAAGGAGGAACTATGCTGAGACCTTAAGGATGAGGAGGAATTAGCAAAGAAGGCAGAATCAGGCTGGGCTTGGAGAGATAGTGTGTTGAACAAGTGATGATCTGAAGACATAAGGATAATAGTGCTTAAGCAATGGAAAGTAGCTCAAGGTGGCTGCAAGGGACCTTACGAAGAGGGGCTGCAGGAGATAAGTCTGGAGAGATAAAAATATCCTGTAAACCACATTTAGGAGTGCAAATTTTATCCCAATAACAAAAAGTTATCACTGAAAGGTTTCAAACAAGAAACTGACATACATGTTCAAATAAAGTCATTTTGAAAATAATTACTAATTAGAGCATGCAGAATGCAAATTGAGGCAGGGAAGGAGGCCAGCTCTGTGGCTTTTGCAGTAGCCAGCCAGCAGCATGGGTGGCCTGAGCCAGGGTGGTGACAATGAAGGTCACACAATGTCTTAGGGGATAAAACCACAGAACTGTGGATATGTATGTAGATCACTTAGCACCCTATCCCATTTTACTGAGGGTAAGTCGAGGCCCTGAAACAAGATACACGACTTGGTCTGAGCTAGGAAGTGGCAGAATCAAGCCTTCTAGCCCCTATTCTAATGTTCCATTTGCAACTATACCTTCCAATGATCTGTTAGTAGCCACATTTCCACAAAGTTTCAAAACTGAGACTGGTAGAAAGTTCCAGTAAATGGAGAGAGTGAGGTCAGAAGGGCAGCGAGAAAAAGGGGGGAAAAAATAGAAAAGCTTGAGCCGGAAGGAAGGAGGCAAGATAAAAGGCAAGGAGAGGAAACCAGAAAGAAGAAAGGGAAAATCGCTGAATGGCCTCAGTGCTTTTGTTCTGAGAAATTCCCAAAGAAAGCCCTGACTTTGAAATCTTCAAACTCAACCCTCCCTCCATCTATGTCTCTAGAGGCTAGGAAATTTCTTCTTCGGTTTGAACTACCTGCTGTCTGATGACAAAAGATGGGATGCACCAAAGATTTCTGTTTCTTTGAAGGGGTTTCATCAGACTGGACAAAGAAAGCGCCCAAACATCCCAGCAACCATCCATAAGCAGCACCTGTTTTCCCAAGAAAGCTACAGATGTTTGTCTATAGGTAAGTCATGCCTAGAGAGCTGGTCTGCTATTGGGTTCTGGGAGAAGTCCCGTCTTCAAGGACACAAGGAAATCTATGATGGCTAAGAAAGAAACACTTGACAATACAAATGGTCCATGTGGTGGCTACAACTTCCTCACCTGCCTCTCTTACTCTCTCCCCAGATATCTCAGATCTCCTTGAAGGTGAACCAAGAAGACGTAAAACATGGGCCCCACCTTCAAGCCTGTGACCCTCCAGGAAGATGCTACATTATGCTTCTGAGAAGCAATGCCATGCCCAATTTTGATTCCTTAAACCCAGAGTGAAGAGTGATTTGCCCAAAATTGTTAGAGGCGGGCTATAATGTGGTCAACAGTCCAGAACAATTCATAGTCTGGAATCCTTAAAGGGAAGGACCCACACAGGTCTGTCAATATTCATTCATTCATTTGTTCATTCATTCATCACTCCATTTATTCACCCATTCATTCAACAGAGTTTATAGAAAAACTACCATGTACCTATGCTGAGCACAGAAGGTATGTCTTAGTCAGTTCGGGCTGCCATGACAAAATGCCACAGACTGGGTGGCTTAACCAACAGACATTTATTATCCCACAATTCTGGAGGTTAAAAGTCCAAGATCAAGGTGACAAAATGGTTCAGTTTTGGTGAGGGCACTCTTCCTGGCTTAGAAATGGCCTCCTCCTCCCTGTGTTCTTACCTTGCAGGGGAGTGGAGAACAGAGACAGAGAGAGAGACAGAGAGAGACAGAGAGAGATCTCCCTTCCTCTTCTTATAAGGCTACAGTTCAATCAGATTAGAGCCCCTTCTTATGACCTTATTTAATCTTAGTTAGCCCCAAAAAACCCTATCTCCCGAGACAGTCTGCTCGGGACTGAATTGTGTCCCTCACCCACCAATTCATACGTTGAAACCCTAACTCCCCAAATGACTATATTTACAGGTGGGGCTTTCAGTGATTAAGGTTAAATGAGGTCATAAGGGTGGGATCCTAATTCAATAGGATCAGTGGCCTTCTAGAAAGAGTAATAAAGAGAGATCACTCTCTCTCTCCGTGCACATAGATCGAGGAAAGGCCATGTTAGCACACAGCACAGAGGTCATGTCTGCAAGCCAGGGAGAGGCCCTCACCAGAACTCTACCATACTTGCACCTTGACCGTGAACTTTCTGCCTTCAGAATTGTGAGAAAATAAATTTCTGTTGTTTAAGCCACCTTAGTCTGCAGTACAGGTTTAGCATCCTTAATCCAAAAATCCCAAAATCCCGAAATGCTCCAAAATCTAAAACATTTTGAGCACCAACATGACACTCAAAGGCTATGCTTTTTAGAGCACTTTGGATTTCGGATTAGGGAGCATGAACCTTTGTTCTGGTACAGTAGCCCAAGCAGACTAAAACACAGCCACGCTGGTAGTTAGGGCTGCAAAACATAACACTTAGGGAGACACAAACATTCAGTCAATAATGAGATACAGAGGTGAAAAAACAAGCAAAGCCTCTCATGATGCTTACCATATAGACACAAAGACCGATACTAGATCATAATTGACATCTAAATGTAAAATGTCCACATGATATTTACAATAAAGTAGAGGTGAAAGATGATATGAGAGGCTATATTAGAAGACTATGACCTAGAGTACAGGAAAATTGTGGAAACTTGCTTCATGGAAGTGAGCAGTGTGACCAAAGTCTGAAGAGTATGGTTACTCAGGTGGGGAGGAAGCAGTGAGCGTTAGGGTCCTGAGGGGAGAATGGCAAAAGAGGTAGAGAGAACAGTCTAAGCAAAGACAATTTGGGGAGAAGGAGCATGGAAGGGGCTTCAATTGTCCACTGGGGCTGAATCACTGAAGGGAAGAGATGTGAGATGATGCTGGAGAAGAACTAGAGAACCCTAACCCTAACCCTAAACCCTAACCCTAAATCTAGCCCTCTCTCTTTTGGGCTTTGTTAAGGGTGGAACATACTAAAGGTTTTAGACTGGAGAGTGATGTGATCTGATGTGCATTTAGGGAAGACTGCTGATCACTCTGGCAAAAGACAGAAGAATTCACTGGAGAAAGACAAGAATGAAAATGAGAAGACCTACCAGGAAGACAACATAGTAATGCTTAAGTCCTGGCATGAGACGCTGGTAGCCTGGAGCACGGTAGGCAAGACAGAGAGCATATAAAGTCATAGAGAGAGAAGGGACAAGTAGCAGAGTACTAGAGACAGAGAAGTGGGCAAATCTGAGAGCTATTTTGTAGGTAAAATGCTCCTAGAAGGTGGAGACTGATTGACAAGGGAGAGAGGCATTGAGGGTGTCACCTGGTCTCCTGGCATGCACAGATAGGGAATGGCAGCTCCTCTCTGAGAGGAGGAACTCCATAAGAGACCACATTTGAGAGGAGTGAACATGAGTTTGGTTTTATATATGAAAACCCTATGGTGTCTTTGAGACATCAAAGTGGAGATGTTGGGTAGAGAGGAATCCATACATTCCTTGGAAGAGGCAGGGAGGATGTGTGATGGTGAAGAACTCCGATGCTGGCACGGTGTAGGCGACAGAACGTGCATCCACTCCTGATTAGTGCTCATCCTCCCAGGTCCATCCGCACCCCCAGCCTCAGTCTGCCCATGCCCATGTCCTGAAGGCAGATCCCTTTGGGCTACATCGCCAGGCTCCTTGTTAGCTGGCTGCTAGGTGGGTGTGGCCAGTGGGACACTCTGGCAGGAGAGGGGAGGAATTTGGAGGTATTTCTTCCCTTGCTCGTTTTCCTGTTTCTGTACCACGCTTTGGAGAGAGACCGAGCCCCTCAGCAATTACAGCTCCTGCCAGGGGCCCCCTTTCCACAGTAGCAGTTCTTGTGGGCCCAGGAAAACCATGTCCTCTCCCTGCCCCTACAGTTCCAGGAGCCAAAAGTGGCTTCCTGACATCTCTTGTCCCAGGTACCTTGACATCCCCATGTTGATTCTCTTCACTCTGCTTACACCTCTATAAATAGTCACTTCACTGAATTCTCTTTAAAATTCCCATTTGAGGATGCCTTCTTTGCCCAGCTGGGCCCTTGGCTGATACAGCATCCCCATCTCCCCCCCCCCCTGTATGTATATACCCCCCCCCCCCCCCCTTTTATTTTTCATGGCTCTGACATTCAGCAATTCCTAAAGGTCAGCCTCTTTCCATTCTGTTATTTCTGTTTCCTTTCTTCTCAGCTGATGCAGAATTGACTGGCTGGACAGAGAGGAAGGTGATGGAGGTTTTGCTCCCCTGAGCTGCAAGGGTTTCTGATCCCCACTGTAGCAAATCCTATCCATCTGCTTGGCTGCTCTTGCTGTGGTGACAGTGCCAAGAGCCCCGACAGGCTTAGAGAGGGGAGTGCTTGTGCAATCCTCTTCATGGCTGATTTCATCCTGCGTACCATGCCTCCCATCCCAGAGCCCTCCCAACCCCATGCGGCAACTCTATCAATATCAATATATCAGGTTGTCCAAACAAGCCACGTTACCTCCT